AGAGGGCAAAGTTGTGTGTGGTATGTTAAGCCCTAAGGACTCAGCACAGAGAATGGTACATTGGGATGTTTCAATAAAAAGAATAAGAGAGAGAGAGAGAGAGAGAGAGAAAGAGAATGACCACAGCTCCTGACTCCCTCTTGCAGCAGCGAGGCACAAACAAGATGGCTTGGGCAGTGGGAGTGTCTCACGCGCTCGCCCACCCAGCCCCGGTGTGGACATTCACGCTGGACACATTGTAGCATGAAAAGTGATTTGGGAGACTTGATGCTGACCAGAGGACCGGAACTTAATTCCACTGAAGTCCTCCTGAGTGATCCATGTTGCCTGCCGCCACTTTTCCAGGCCGACAGGGGAATAGAGAATGCACACAGAGCTCCGTGCATGAAGCAGAGCGGGGAGCAGAAGCGCAGACGTGGTGCAGCTCATGGCTGGGGTACAAGCCTGGAGTCGGATTGCCTGGGATCAGGCTGTGCTCTGCCACTTTCTAGTTACATGGCTTTGTGCGAGTGACTTAACTTCTTCCAGTCTCTGTTTCCTTCTCTGTAAGGTGGGGGCAGGAATTGCATCTAACGGCAGAATGGCGGGGAGAATCAGGTGTTGATCCGTGTCAAGTGTTTACAATGGGGCCTGGTAGCAGACAGCCCTTCAGAAATGCTGGCTTTGTTTCGTAACTTTTCCATCTTCCACCATGTGCTTCCTGAATCCTACCTAATGGAATGATTTGAGGACTGGTTGTTTTAAGTATTTCCTTTTCTTTATTCTTTGCCTTTTGCCCACCTCGAGATCTGCAGTAGACACTGGTTGTGCATGGAGGATGTGCAGGGAAGGGAGCATGCTAGAGTTTTGGAATGAGCCCTGACGTCTGTATAAAAGGTAGCAGCATCCTCCTGTCTTCAGAAGATGACTCAGGCACTCAGAGAGGTGAAGTATCCATCAGTTGTCACACAGTGAGGAAGCAGTGGCGTCGGGATCTAAGTTCAAGTGAGTCTGGCTGAGCCATGGTACCCACCCCTCAGGCTGCTGCCCACAGGGCCGGCACCATGACTGGTGCATCACTGAGCCCAGGAGAGGGTGAGCTTTATGGCAAGTTTCTCCAAGACTGAGGAGGAAGGCTGCTCCTGGCCTCCTCCTACGTGTGTGTGTGTAAAGGAGGTTGCGGAAGGAAAGGAAAAGCAAATGCAGGAACTATTTGCTCTTGAGGCGACAGTAGACTCAGGGGGTGAAGGATATTAAACATCAATGGCTTGATGAGGATTATCCACGAGTGTCTCTACTTTCACCGCCCCGACTTCCCTCTGGTGAATAACAGTCAGGAGAGGCCCCTGCTCCTCTGCTCTTCCAGTGCCTGCTGACTGCCAGCCATGGGAGCCATTGTACTCCCTCTCTAAGAGTCTCCGTGTATTCGAAGGTTATTGCCAAGAGTTTATAGAGACAGAGATTAGGAGAAGGAGGAAATGAAAAATGAGGATAGAGAGCAGCTGGAGTGAGGCTTTAGCCTTGGGGATGAAGAAGACGTTCACTCTTGGGCTCCCAGATTCCCGGGGTGGCAACAAATAGACTCCACCCGTGTCCTCTGGCACCATGCAAGAAGCCAGCCTGAGATGTGGTCAAGTGCTTGTGGACCCTGTGCACTGGCTATCACACACTGGGCAGGGGCTTGCCCTTAGGGCACCAGGAGTCGCTTGCACCTGCCAGTCAGACCCCTTGTGCTGCCTCGGAAAGAGGAGACAGGGAGGAGAAGGAAAGTGAGGCTGTGGGTCCAGAGGGGAGTATGGCGGGGCTGCAGTGACCTGAGGGATGGGTCTCTGTTCCTCCTCCCTCCCTGGGTGACTGGGGCTCTCTGAACTTCTGCTGCCTTCTCCATCTGAGGACGCATTGTGAGATCTACACCACAGGTTTTCTTGTTGTGAGGATGTGATGGAACGTGGAAATGTCTGAGGCATAGTAAGTGCTCAGCAAACAGCCCCTTCTACCTTCCCCCTTATGTGAGAGTTTAACGAGCCAGGTGCAGGGAGAGGAGGATGACCCGGAGAACCTGCTGCATCAGAGCTGGAGTGATGTGGTTTATCAGGAGTGATGGGAGCAGAACACTCGCTCCGTACCAGCTGCTTTAAGTGCTGTTGACACATCCTCCTTTCACCCTCACAAGAGCTCAAGAGCCCGAGAGCCCCATGATACTGTTGTCCCCATTGTACAGATGAGCAATTAGAGGTTGAAGTTGTCAGCTTGTCTAAGGTCTCCCTGATGGTGAGTGGCAGACCTGAGTCAAATTCACATCTTAAATGTCATTAAGCACAGCCTGTATATGGAGAGGCTGAGTCCCAGAGAAGGAAACTGGCCCCAGCCCTCAGTGTGGGCAGATTCAAACCTGGGGAGAGGCAAGGGACGGGGCAGAAACTTGGAGGACATGTCATCCTGACTGGATTCTAGCTAGATGACTTGCTGTGTGTCTTTAGGCAAGTTTCTCAGCTCTCAAACCTCTGTTTTCTCATCTGCAAGATGGGGATAATATTAACCAACTGACTAGGTCATGAGGATTGAATCTGACGACTCTAGCTAACTGCCTGGTACAGCCAGGTGCCCACAAGATGGGCAGCCCTGCCAGACTTCTGAAATAGTTGTGCCTCCCACCACAAACTGTCTGCTATTGACTGAGAAGAGAAGCATGTTCTCTTCCAAACTCAGAGACCCCTATGTTCTGGAAGATCTTTGTAGCAGTGAGGAGTGCTACCTTCAAGCTGCTACTGGTCCAGGCCAAGGGTATATCTAGGTGGGTCCGTCTCTCACCCAGAGTGTGTGCTGAGGCACATTGCAGCCCATATTTTGAGGGGTTTTTCCTGCTATTCATTTTGTGTTGCCGCCAAAGAAAACTAAACTACAGCTCCTGGCTGTCGGGGAAGAGCTGTGCTTCTGCCAGGGCTAGTGTGCCTGGCACCAGCTCAGGCATGTACCAGAGCTGAATGCTGTTTGCAGGCAAATGTACACACAAAAAGATTCCAGCACACGCGTGCACCAGCCAACACAGAGTTGCCACGGCACACAACACCGGGCCACGCACGTGCCTGCTGACTCGGCTGTCATCTCCCCACTGTCTTCCATGATCAGAAGACTCTCTCAGCCTCTGTCTGTCTCCGTGTCTGTCTGTCTGTGGATCAGTGTGTTCTGAGTCTGACTGTCTTCCCGGTTGGTTTCTTTTTCTCTTGCTCTGTCCCTCTCTCCTTGTGTTTCTACCCATCTCCCTATCTCTGCCACTCTCTGTCTCTGTTTTTCTTTCTCTTTCTCCCCTCCTTTGTAACACTCCGTAGGTCCGACATTGCCTCTTTCTCCATTTCTGATTCTCTCTGTTTTTCTGACTCTCTCTCTCTCTCTCTTTCTTTCTCTAACTCTTCTGTCTCTGTCCTTCCCTGTCTCCTTTTTCTATGACACTCTCCTAGAAACGCATCAAATACTGAAGTGGCCGGATTTCAAGTGACAAACAGCACTACACCCAGAATCCGCCCCCCTCCCCAACACGGCTGCCTTCCTCCTCCACATCCCTGTCACGAAGAGAAGCCTATTGTGTCGGGCCCAGGGAGTTCGAGTTGAAGGGCCTGGGGGTCTGCGCTCTGACTGCTCTCAGCCACTTCCCCATTGGCTCCCAGCAGCCTGTGCTCAGCAAGGGCTGAGCGACAGGGGAGGCTCTCGTCCATAAAAGAGGGGAAGAGGCACCAGAACTGCCATTCGAAGGGGCTTTGGTGGTGTTCACAGCTGCCTATTTAGCACCTCCTCCCAAGCCGGAGTCAGGGAGGCCCCTGAGCCTTGGACCGGCCACCTGCCACCTCCGACCTGCTCAGCCAGAAGCTGCCCAGGGACAAAGCAGAGCACAGGTAATATCCAGAGGGGGCACTGGAATTCTATCTCTTGGTTTTATTTGCTTATTCCTGGTCCTCTGGACCTAGAGATGGTGGGAGCTCGGGCTGGGGATTTTAGGTTTGGGTCTGATTATCTAGCAAAGGAGCAAAGGTAGTTACAGTTAGGAGGCTAGTTCACAAAAGCCAGACCAGTGAGAGACTGCTGTTTGGAATCTCCCTTTCTGCACAGTCCTAGCTTAAACAGGTGGTAAGCTGTCTCCCAAGAGGACCACACTATGGCTTTAGCTCCAGGGTCTCCTTCCCCTTGCAGTCTCCCACACAGCAGTTCCCATGCCTTTCCCAGGATCTGGGGGGAATGGGACACCCTGGGTGGGAGAAGTGAGAGGTTTCACTAATCAGGGTGATTTTAAAGGTCAATGAGTCTCACTGGACTTAGAGAACAAGGGCTTGGGGACATTAATGAGATCTAAGGCTCTGGCATTTATCACATAACATGTACATCAATGTACAGCCAGTTTCGGCCTTTTCATTCTTTTCGGATTGTGTTTAATTGCTGACAGCGTGCTGGTTTGAGTGGCTTCTTTCGATGGAATTTGATACAGGATGAAGTTTGGGGGTGTTTCGTTGGAAGGGAATGGGAAAAGGGAGTGACAACAAGCCAGGAGGCCCAGGCTTAGCAGGCGTTTGCTTGTCAATTTTACTTGGAAAGGACTTGTTGCTCCCCTATTAATTACAGCCAGAGGAGTCCAAGGCCAGGAGGAAGCTCAAAGGGAAAGCCATTTGCTCGCTGGTCCAGAGATCCATGTTCAGAAAGTACCGGGTCTCAAAGTTTGATTCTAGCAAAAAGCTGATGAGCTTCGGGAAAAAAAGAAAAAAAAGAAAGAAAGAAAGAAAAAAAAGCCTGCTGACTACTCCAAGGTTGAAGAGTAAATTCTGCAACTGCTTACTTTTTTCTGGGGATCCAAGAATCCCTCCAAGCTCTACAAACATTACTTAATTAAGTCTCCAGGCTTCCCAGGGGAAACAAGCTCTTTCGATTATTGGATCTGATTTCAGTTCCCCTCCCACAGACTGAAAGTCTTCATTATCATCTTTCTTCCAAGGGTTGCTGAAATACACAAGGCTTGCCTTTCTAATTTGACAGGCATCCCAGTCGAGATCCATTGCAAAGCACTGCAGAGTGTCCATCCTCTTCTGTTCTTTCTCACCCCAGGCCTCACTCCCACCCTGCTGTGGCACCTTCCTTCTCTTTTCCCTTCCTCTCCTCCCCCTAGTCCCACCACACCTTGCCTTTGTTCTATTTTTGCAGGTCATTTATCTCCAGGCTTTGATATCTGCGTGGGGGGAGCTGTTGCAGCAGCCCAAGCCGGTGAGTTATGCTGCCTGGGGGTGGTTTGCGTTCACTGACGGGATCTCAAGCCCACTGCTTTGCCCCAGCTGTGATAGGTGGCAGGCAAATCCTATGTCTCTGTTGGCAGCTGGGAGGGGGATGTCACACTGGTTCCCGAGGCTCTGTGGCAGAAAGCAGCACATTTTAAGGGAGCAGGCAAAGGGATCGGCTCTGGGGCTATATGAGAAATTTGCCATCTTAAAACACGTGGAAGGAGTTAAGGTTTCTTGAAGTAACTCCTGGGAGCCAGGAATTTTCCATCTGTCATCTACACGTGTGTCTCACAACACCTGAAACAGTGCTGGGCTGAAATCCCAGATCCTACCACTCACTTACTGTGTGACTTTGGAACAGTAGCAGTCCCTCCCTGAGTCTCACTTTCCTTACCTGTATGATGAGAATAATAATAATATTCACCTCCTAAGGTTATTGCAAGCCTCCACGGGATACAGCAATATGTCTGGCATTCAGTAGGTGCTCAATAAATACTGATATGACTGCTCAGATTTTCACTGTTGCAAAGTGGTGAGGTTGGACCTTTCTCTCTATCGATTATCATATCGCTGATCATCCCACTCCATCATGCTGTGTGCTATGTCCAGGAAATATGATCTAACATCTAAAATCGTCATCTGCGGGGCTGGTGCTCCTTTCCCCTCCCCATCCCAACAGAAGACTTTTTATTTCATCTGCTGCATCAGGATCATGAAGTCTCTTTTTGATCGATACTCCCTCACTCCCCCTCCCACTACCCACCTCCTTGGGCCATTCCTGCACAATTGTTGTATTTATTAGGTCTCTTCCATCATGGTAAGAGAGATCAATAGTTACTGGTTCGATTTCAATGCATGCCTGAGAAAGTGTGGTTACACAGCTGATTTCTCTCACCGTATTCACTCGTCTCAGCCCGCGATTGTTGGCTAATCTTGCTGGGTCTGACAAAGTGATAAACCTGTTTCACTGAGACAGAGCTGGCCACTGTGGTAGGCAGTAAACATCGGCTGGAGACACCCAGGTAAGCCCAGGATCAGACGCTCGATATGGAGTGAGGTCTGTTAGTGCTTTGAAGCGCAGCCTCATTAGTCCCTCCCAGGCTGGATCCAAACTGATGCTTCTGGCAGGAGGACAATGGCCCAGGTCCATGAGGCACATGGCTTGGCTCAGGGGGCTCCTCCTGGAGTCCATCCAGGTCATCCCACTGGCCAGAGCGGTTGGCCACAAGCTGCAGACATATGCACCGAGGCAATCTGTTGATGCATTGGCTTGAACTGCCATTTGGTCCCTGTCCTATTCCTGGACAATTTGATTTAACTTGACAACGGTTTACTGAGCAGTTATTATGTGGCAGGGTCTCTTGCCCACTGGTCCCTAGGAACAAAGGGCAGACTCAGAGAGCAGCAAGAGGGAGAGAATTGGTGTTTGTGAGTCACACAATAGGTCAGCATCCTGAATCAAAATCTTCTTTCCCTCCCCACTTCTCTCTCTTATTTTGTTCACTTCCCTTCTCTCTTTTTCCTCTTCTTCCCCTCCTCCTCATCCCCTCCCCTTCTATTCCTATTTGTCCTCTCCCCATCTGTATGTCTCATCTTGTGTTTTTTTCCCACATGGTCCTCCACCTCTCTCTGCTTTTTCCTGGTATCTTAGTCTCTTTTTCTGTGTGTGCAGGTCTCACCTCTGCCATTCTTTTGGGCCCATGTCTTTTTCTCTGTGTCTCCGTCTCTAACTCTTTTTATGTCTCTCTCTCTCTCCCTGTGTCCCTTCATCTCCATATCTCTCTAGCTCATCCTCTTTTTGCCTTTCTCCCCATCCCTTAATTGCACCAGAAAACAAAAAGGGTGGCGGTTCCATGCAAGCCTTGCTCTTGAAAAACATTCTTTTAAATATGCAGTGAGTGATCCCACCAGGACCATCGCCTGCAAGGCCGTCTTTCCCTCTGGTCTCTGCACAGCAAATGCAGCTGACCACCAAATGGGACCCTCGTCCAATTCTGTGCTTTGATCTTTGCCAGGCTAAAGGGTGGGTTTACTTTCTGTTCAGAACCCAAGCCTCCTTCTCATTGATCATTCGTCTTCTGTTATGACGCTAACACCTAACAAGGGGCACCACTGTTTCAAGTTCAGGGGCTCCCTTTGCCAACCTCCTGGAGACCCACAAGGGTGAACTTTATACTTTTGAGTGTGGGGTAAAAGTTCCTGAAATGATTTCAACATCAGGAGTGGGAGAGTTTGGGAGGTTATCCGAAAGACAGTTGAGACATATTTAGGCCTCAGGATGGTTTGTGGCATGGAGTCAGCAGACTGACTTTGAAATCTTATTCTGCTGTTTCCTTGCTTCTTGGTCTTGGCCCAGTCTTTTAGATTCTCTGAGCCTCTGTTTTCCCCATCTGGAAATGGAACTCGTAGTTCCCAACCCACTGGATTCTCTTCAAGAGAAGAGAGAAATAATTGAGATAAAGTGGATAGCGAAGAGCTTGTCTCTTCTCAGAGTTACACCCTAAATGGGGAATGCGATGGACTCAGAGTCCCAGCTCTGTCATGTTCTGTGGCCGCGGAGAGGTACTTTATCACTTGGTCCTCACCTTCCCATCCGGATCCCAAGCCTGTAATATGAGCCCCTGCCCCGTAGCGTCCACAGGAGGCAGCTGGAGTGCGCGGTGCTTGGTGCAGAGCAGCGTCTCAGTCTTTGCTGGCTGTTAGGATGGTTGTCATTGCAGGGTCATTGAAACAATGCCATCTCTTTAGTGGGAGTCATGGTTCGGGTGTGGGAGGCTGGAGTTCTGTTTCCATTTCCCTCCTGACTCATGATGTGACCTTAAACAAGTGACTTCATTTCTACCTTTTCCCATTTCCTCTTTCATCAAATAGGGATAATCATATGCGCTAAAGTGCTCACAGAGATAATTGCGATGTTAAATCAAGCCATTATTATTCCGTGCTGGCTTTTTAAATAAAAATGCTTGCGGCTCCTCTGAGCCCTCAGCTGACTACAATATAGAAATGTCATCGAGGAGCCAAGAGGTCAAAAAGATCATTCCCTTTCAAGGAACTTTGGGCCCTGGGTGAAGAGAGCGTCTGCTTTGTGCTGGCCCTTTAAGCGGTGCTGTCTCAGTGCAGGAAGATGATATGCCCCATTCACAGATGAGAAGACTGAGGCTTGTGAGGCTTGTGGAGGAGGTGGTACCAAATGACCGCAGAGCCCATGCCTTTCCCTCTCAAGGGAAAGCAAAATCCCACGGCAAGCCTCCCTAGGTCCTCTCGGTATTTGCCGGGAGAACAGCCCAGGCAACTAGAAAGGGCTCAGGGCTGAGGAACAGGGCCAGTTTCCTCCTGCCTTTTCCATCGGGAAACCTACCTGACCTCCTGGTGAGAGATCCATCCACTAGCAAGACATAAAAAATATTTTATTATTTGAGAATATGTTCACATGCCTGAGGACTCAAGAAAGTTAGCTTAAAACTATTAGAACCATAAAATGTTTATAAAACCAGTGAAAGTACGGTCAGCAAACCTTGTCTGTAAAGGACCAGAGAGTAAATATTTTGGGCTTTCTGGGCCCCACAGTCTCTGTTTCAACAATTAACACGGCTTTTGCAGCATGAAAACAACCACAGACATAGATGCAAACAACGGGGCATGGGTGTTGCATTAGCCAAGGTTCTCCGGGGAGGCAGAACCAACAAGGTGTGCCTATCCACAGAAAGAGATTTACGGAAGGAATTGGCTGATGCAATTAGGGAGGCTGGTGAGTCTGAAGCAACCACTCCTGTTAGGGGAGAATCACCCCACTGCCCCAACAGCCCCTCTTTCCCCTACTGGGCTGTTACAAAGCACCTGAGGTAGCGGCTGAGATAAAGCTTCACAAACTGCCAAGTGCAAAGGACTTTGCTTTGTGCGGCCTCCGGGTCCTCGGCCAAGTCTGTGAAAGAACACCATACAGGCCCTCCATCAGGGTGAGACGCTGACATCACGCCTCCCGCTCACCGAGGGGGCCTGCTTCCTACTTCTCATCCCGGTGATCGACCAAGTTCCTTTCCTCCTTGGCCCATCCCTAAGCAGACATGATAGGCAGGCAGGGCTCTCTCCCAGCTCCATTCCTTGGCAAATCCCCATCAGAAAGGTCGAAATGCTTCCCCCGGGGCCCATCTGACATTGTTCTGTAAAGTATTTATCCTATAAAAGGAAGGAAATAGGATCACCTGTGAAATTGTGAGGGCGAATGTATCTCTACTAGGGTCGTCTTTTAACCCAGAGGGATCTGGACAGGAGCCCAACTCCCCCATTCATGAGTCCAGGTGAACTTAGACGAGCAAGTTCCCCTTTCTCAGCCTCAGTCTGGCCCTCTGTAAAATGGATATTAAAAAAACATGCACCTCTGGGGTTGCTGTGAGGATTGGAGCTAATATGTACAAAGCCGTAATGCACAACCCGGCTCCCAGTAGCCTCCTGAGAATTGGTGACTGTTGCTGGGTTGACAGGATCGTGGATGAAGGGCACTCAGCCCAGACCAACACCCAGCAGGCCCTCTGTCCACGGCAGTGAGTCATGCAGCAGCATTTTTCATTTCTGCAGTGTGCCAAGCTCTTTATGATCTCTCCTTTTTGCCCTCTTCTTTTCCTATCTCCTACAGCTCCAGTAAGACTAGACTGGAGCCTTCATACTCCACTCTCCAAAGCACCTACTATGTGCCAGGTACTTCAAGCATGTGCCAGGTACTTCAAGCACATGCCAGGTGCTTCACATGTGATCATTTATTTAATTCCTATGCCCATGCTCTGAAGCATTATTATTAGCCCCGTTTTGCAGCTGAGAAAACTGAGGCACGGTAAAGCTAAGTCATTTTCCTAAAGTGGTGGTAAGTGGTGGGCTGAGACCTGAGCCCACGTTACTGACCATTTGCTGATCCTGCTTTGGGGTCAGGAAAGCATTTGCGGTCCCACCTCTCCTTTCTCACCAGCTGTGTCCTCGCCACCCCATGCTGCTTCTCCAAGTTAGAGAGGGTAATTCAGGGGCTGCAGACTCACACGTCTGTCAGGTACTCGGCAGTGAGGGAAGTCCCGGGTGGTTCTGCGGGTGGTGATGGGCAGCATGGCTCTTCCTCTGTGACTGTTGCCATATTGAAATACAGGCTCAATGTCCCCAGGCCTTTTGTTTTTTCAAGACAAATTGAAAATTGAGATTTTTTTTTTAAATGTACAATTTCCTAATTTTAAAATATTGCCTGTTTATTTTCATAACTAATTGGTGTGCAGCTCCTGCTCATTCTAGCCCTATATGAAGTACTGGGACACCATTCATTCATTGATTGATTCATTCATCCATCACTCAAACTTCCTTAGTCTGCCAGTCACATTTAGATCAAATGCAAACTCTCCCTTGGCCTGTGAGAGCCGGCATTATCCGTCCTCTGCCCACCTCTTTGCTTTTCAACCCCAGTCTCTCCCCTTACGTCCCTTCATCCACCCTGGCCTCTTTGTCATCCTCAAGCACGACACACTCGCACCTCAGCGACCCCCTCCCCCCACCATGTGCCCATAAGGGACTCAGACAGGTAAGTGGTCATTTCGTGATGAAGCCAGCATAGGAGGCTGTGGGATCTCAAAGGAGGGAACTAATCCAGACATACTTCCTGGAAGAGGCAACTGAGGCTGAGTTTTGAATAATGAATAAGAATTAGCCAGGTCAAAGCATGATGGGAGTGGATGAGTGGCGTGACAGAGATGTTCCTGGCAGAGGAAACCCTGTGTGCAAAGGCTTGGAGGGCGGGGTGCATAGAGCATTTGTTTTGAAATTGCAGGTGGTTTGGTCAAGCCCAGGACGGGCAGAACTCACATCCAATCTGTCTGGGTGCTGTGTACTTGTGTGTACTTGCTGGGATACCTTGGACAGACTATGTGATCTTTCTGTGTCTCCATTTTCTCATCCATGAATGGGGAGAATGTGAGTCCCAGCCTTATGGAGTTGTCATAAGGACCCCCTTCCAATAAGACACATACAGTTCTGAGCACAGGGGCAGGCACGCAGGGAGCACTAGCAAATGTCAGCTGTCGGTATTAGGAGAGCCTGGGGGTGCTGGTGACAGGGACAAGCTTCTTCTGGAAGCCAGAGGACACAGGGCAGAGGTGCAGTCAGATCTGAGTTTCAGAAGGGTCCTCCAGCTGCTATGTGGAAAGTGTTTACGAGGGAAAGATTGGAGGCTACTCCAGAACCAGGTGGAGGTTGAGATGGACCCTGGAGGGAGAAGTTGGAGGCTGGAGATGAGGGGACTGAAGGGGCCTGGGCAGTATACAGCGGTTACGAAGGTAACTCCGGAGCCAGACAGCCTGGTACAAATCCCAACTTTGCCACTTACTCACTGTAGAATCTTGGCAGGCTCTAGAATTTTAACTCAGTTTCCTCATCTGTAAAGTGGGCATGACAATAGCACCGATGCTGTAGAGTTTCTGTGACTATGTGTGAGTTAATCCATGAGAATTGCTCAGAACATCGTGGGTACTTAATTACCATCAGATCAACCAGAATTATCATAAATATAAAGTTAATGGATGAAAGACAAGGATGCCAACACTATTTTTGCCTGAGACAAAGAGATCTTAAAGTGAGTCCCCTACCTTAGCAGCTAAGCTGTGTGGGAAGCCTTCAGCCAGGAGTTAGATGTTGTGGTAGGCACCCCCTCCCCAGTAGGTTAATTCACTGCTGATCTTCTAACAGGCCAGGCCGCCATCGCTGATATCAGAGAAAACATGAGCTGCCTGCTCTATACGGTTCACTGGTGGGGAAACGTAATCCAGTCCGCAGCTGATAGGGCGTGAGAGAAACGCAAGGGGAAGAGAAAGACACAGGATGGACCCAAGTCCGCTTCCCTGACTTTTCCACTGAGCCTCCCTGGTTCAGGGGAGCAGACCTTGCCAGCCTCAAGCAAGGCACATGGAGCTGAGCTTGTGTCTTGAATTGTTGTGTGACCTCAGGAGATTTACTAAGCCTCTCTGAGCACCAGTTTTCTTGTCTATAAAGTGGGGGCTTTATATATAAAGTCCCTTGGATCTCACGGAGGGCGCAGCTGTTAATGAATTGAAATTGCTTAGAAATTGTAGTCATTAAGTGTAGGGGGTCAAACAGAACAGACCTTGCACCCCAGCCTCACTATCGAGGTAGGACATGGGCAATTCACCAGACCAGAAGTGGCCACTTCCCTGAAGGAATAAATGAGGTGATAAATTGAAAAACTTAGCACAGTAGGGGTTTGAGAAATGGTGACTGGGATCACTATTAAGCATGCTCCGGTGGGAGAGCCTACTGCATGCTTTAACACAGAGACCCTGCTTTGGCTACAGCGTGGGGTTCTGGGGCCCGGGGGTGAAAGCTTTGAAACACCCTGAACACCTGAGCAAACAAGGTGGTTTGCAGGGATGGGGAAGTTGGAGGAAAAGAGGACAGCCATTTCTGAGAGTAGATTGTTGGTGTCGGGTTACAAAGACCATGCTGGGCCAAGTGTGAAGCCCCTAACCAGGGTGGGGTGGGTGTCTTAGGGGAACTAGGCACTTCCAGTTGAAAGAACTGTACTGTGCCCTCATAAATCAAATATAAAGGCCCTGAATCTTGATATCTGATTTATAAAGGGCTGACTATGAAACAGACAACCTTTTTTTTTTTTTTTTTTTTTGAGACAGAGTCTCACTGTGTTGCCCAGTCTGGGGTGCAGTGGCACGATCTCTGCTCACTGCAACCTCTACCTCCTGGGTTCAAGTGATTCTCCTGTCTCAGTCTCCTGAGTAGATGGGGCTACAGGTGCGTGTCACTCTTCCCAGCTAATTTTTGTATTTTTAAAGGAGATGGGGTTTCACTATGTTGGCCAGGCTGGTCAGGAACTCCTGACCTCAAGTGATCTGCCTGCCTCAGCCTCCCAAAGTGCTGGGTTTACAGGTGTGAGCCACCATGTCTAGCAAAACAGATAACTTTTAACAGAGTATTTATGAAGCATTAATTCATCTGCCAGGAATTTATTGAGGACCTGTGATGTGCTGACCAGGGTTTTAGGAGCTAGTATACAGCAGAGAGTAAGACAGGGTCCGTGCCCTCAAGGAGCTAACATTCTATTGGGGTGGTGATAACCACAACGTACACACCACCACCAACAACCAAACATCAAATAAGTAGGAGACTATGAGGTGGGAGTGTTCTGATGCAAACAAAGGGTGATGTAAGAGAGAGCCCAAAGAAGCCTCATTAGACACATAGTGATCAGTAAATGCCTCTCTGCCAGTATGACAACTAATTTAATGACAAAGAAGGAGCTAGTGATGTAGAAGTCTGAGGTCAAAATACTGCAGAAGAACAGAAAGTGCAAAGCCCTGAGGTAGGAGCAACCTTGGCATATTTGAGGCACAGAGTGACCACTTCAGAGAAAAAGACAAGACATGGAACCAAAACCTGAAGACTCACATGGACGATTTTCATGGAAGAGGCACACACTGCTGGGAGAATAGAAAGGAGGAACATCTCATCTAGCCTAGGCAATCAGGGAGAGCTGCCTGGAGGAAGTAATATCTAATCCAGGACCTAAATGACAGGTAACAGAAGAGGAGATGAAGGGTTCTCCAGGCAGAGGGAACAGCATGTGCAAAGGCCTGGGGGTGGGTCAGAGCCTGATGCATTCATTAAGGGGATTGCAAGAAGCTGATGTGGTTGAAGCCCAGAGCTGAAGTGTGGGACTGCAGGAATGGGACTGAGGGTACCCTGACATTTAGGCAGAAGGGCCAGGCCTGACCCCACCCAATGGGTCTGTTCACAGAATTGATATTGCCAGGAAGAGCATTTCAGAATGGGAAGGAGGAATCAAAGAAGGAACTGGAGGCAGGCGGGGAGGCCAGCAGGGAGAGGGAGTGAAGGTGGAGCCGTGGCTGAGATCAGTGACAGTACTAGAGTGGGAGAGAAAAATTCTGGAGCTCTCACAAAGCCGAAAGGACTGATGTGGGACAGCCTGGGACACAGGGACAAAGACCTCGGAGAACTCAGAAAAGCATTTAACTAAGTATCTTCTGGCTTGGCAGGTGGCCAAAGTGGGTTTTGAAGTCTGAAAGACCCAGAGCAAGTCGTGGCTTGTCCACTTCCTAGCTGTGTGCAACCACTTCCCTGCTCTGAGCCTCAACTTCCCCATCTGTTGAATGAAACTGGCACACAGCCCACATTGAAGAAGTATTGTGCAGATTGGGAGTGAATGTACAGGAAAGCTCTGGGTATACAGTAGGCGCTCATTCCCTTCCTTGACCCTTGGCTTTGGGCCTCCACTTTACCTCCCTGGGCCTGTTTTCTTGACTGTAGAATGGGAATCAGAATGCTTTGCAGTGCTGTGGGCAGGAGTTAAAGAGATGAATTTGTGGGCTCAGAACACAACCTGCAGAGGGGTGATCACGGATTTCATTATCTTCTCTTTCTTCCTCCCCAGCAGGAATTGCTGAGACAGGATGACCTGGCAGGGGCTGGTGCTGGCTGCCTGCCTCCTCGTGTTCCCCTCTGCCACAGCAGACTGCCTGTCGCGGTGCTCCTTGTGTGCGGTAAAGACCCAGGATGGGCCCAAACCCATCAACCCCCTGGTAGGTTTCAGGCAAGGTTCTTCAATGCCCAGGTCCTGGGGCCTGGGTGAGGGAGCCCAGAGAGGGGAGGTTGCAGGCCTTGGCAGCTGTGTGCTGTCCTGTAGATCCATCCCACCTGTGCAGGGTGGCGGGTGTCCTGCCCTGTAGATGGCCTGGACACCAGGGGCTGCTGTTTTCCATCTCCTATCCCCACTCCAGACCTCACCACCATGGGTTCACTCAGGCCACGACAAGAGACTCAGGTGTCCAGGGAGAGTGATGCCTGGCAACAGGGAGTGTCATTGCTGAGGTGGTGCTGACTTTGGCAGTCAGCAGCCCTAGATTGACTTTTTAGGGCTTCTTATTCCCGGACTGATGAGCACCTCCAAATCTAGACAGTTCCATGAGAGGAGCTGTCTCCACCACCCCTAAATGCAAAGATCTGGCTGACAGAATCAAAGCTTTGACCCCTCTCCTGGGCCTTAGCACCTCTTGGCCCCACCTTGTTGGCTTTGCTTTGAGTTAAGCTCCCCCACGTGTCTCTCCCATGACAGCAGAAAGGCTGGAATAGAGGTACCAAGGGAATGGGGACAGAACACAGACTTTTGATTCTGCCCCTTTCTAGCTCCATGACCTTGGAACCCCCTCTCTAGGTTTCTTCATCTGCAAAATGGAGGTGATTCCATGAGATAGTGAAAGAAGTTATTTATTTATTTACTTTTTCTGAGACAGGGTCTCACTCAGTAGCTCACACTTGAGTGCAGTGGCGCGATGTCGGCTCACTGAAACCTCTGCCTCCCGAATTCAAATGATTCTCCTGCCTCAGCCTCCCGAGTAGCTGGGACTATGGGCACCCACCACCACACCTGGCTAATTTTTGTATTTTTAGTAGAGACAGGGGTTCACCATGTTGGCCAGGCTGGTCTTAGACTCTTGACCTCAAGTGATTTGCCCACCTCGGCCTCCCAAAGTGCTGGGATTACAGGCGTGGGCTATCACACCTGGCCAGAAGTTATTTATTTTGGTTTGTTTGAGACAGAATCTTGCTCTGTTGCCCAGGCTAGAGTGCAGTGGCACTATCACAGCTCACTGCAACCTCCGCCTCCTGGGTTCAAGTGATTCTTGTACATCAGCCTCCCGAGCAGCTGAGACTGCAGGTGCACACCACCACACCCAGCTAATTTTTGTATTTTTAGTAGAGATGGGGTTTTGCCATGTCCACCAGGCTGGTCTCAAACTCCTGGTCTCAAGTGATCCGCCCGCCTTGGTCTCCCAAAGTGCTGGGATTACAGGTGTGAGCCACTGCACCTGGCAAAATAAGTTATTTAATACATAATTCTAGTCACTGAGAGATGCACACAATGGGCCATGCCCAATCTCAAAGAGCACCGTGTTTAAGCATGAAGACTCATGGCATTGGATGGCCTGGGTTC